TGATGAATAATTAACAAACAGAATGCAATGTTAATATAAGCTATGGACCAATACTTAATAATTATGTACCACTCGGTTCAGCTTAGGTCAATAAGAAAATTAAACGCAACAAAAATATGATCAACATTATATTTTATACTAAGTACATTACTTTACACTGTGTTAAATACTAAATATCACAAGAGGCTTAACAATAAACAAGTTTTCACTTGCAAAAATAACCTGTCTGCACTGCTCTAAAAAGATCTCGTTAAAAAAATACCTTTACATCTCTCATGTTCGGTAAGTAGATTCTTATTACCTCCAAATGGGGCTTGTAAGTGACTAATTGGCGTTCTAGGGTAATAATGTAGCTAGAAAAGCCCTAGGGTGGTAAGTTATTAAAAAAAACACTTCTTTCTTACAAAAAGTTCGCGTTCATCTAACCATCATACTGGCAATAGACATCATGCATTCAGCCCAATGACCAAAGAGGTCGCTTTGCTATTCAGCCTTGTCTTCGTGTGAGTATAATAGTCATCAATTTTAAATATTCAATTTCGATCTTGAAAAACTTAAAAGTTCCTTACTTGATTCTTTTTAATGCAAATAGGCGGAAATATAGAAAACTTTTAGTTTAAAAATTGTTTGTTTTGGGATTATTTTATAATTACGTGCTAATTAAGTAAAAACATGAGTTCTTCAAGTGATGAAGATCCCAAAAAACACCTGTCCTTAAAATTTGAAAATTGTTCTGATTTCACCATAAATTTCAACAAATAAAATGTTTTATTCTTGTAATGCCGGTTTTTTTCTACTTACCTCACAATCGAGATGTAAAGCAGAATAGTTAGCTCGGGTGTAAGCATCAATTGCACCCTCGACCTATCTCGCTGCGCTCGTGCGCCTAAATATCTAGGGCTGCAATTGATGCCTTGGCTACTAATCTACTATTAACATTAAAGTTTACCTCATTTTTGTACTCCTTTACTAGGATTTATTGGATTGGATAATTGACATGACTCATGTGCGCTTTTCAAGAAACATTTTGCCTCACAGATCAAATTTATGGAAAAAAATTGTCGCCTGCGGTATTTCTGGATCGATACGACCTCCGAACCTTCAAGAAAACAGCGGAGTACGCACCTCAAGGGTAACGTGCTTGTGACTCCTAAGCTGCAGGCGTCTTTGGCAGCAGTAGTCGCTTTCTATCAGATGATCCGTCTGCTCATTTGCCCCTATATTATAAAAACGTCACCGTTTTATAGATTTTTTATTTCACATGAGAGAATTCCAACATTTTTTTTATCTCTGTGTTACACTCAGAAATGTGCAATTCTCTATTCGAATAATATCCGCATTAAACAAAGTAGTAAATTCCTAGGAGATGACGCGTTATGCGGTCAAAAGCCTTTGTCTTTAAATATAAGCTCTATCATATATCATTTTTGATTATAATATTATCAGTTTAATTAATTAAGTATACATTATCTTTCATTATGACGGCATTTATATAAACAAAATCAATTTATTTAGTAATCAACAGATGTTTGAGAATTCACAAACACTTTTATTAAAGTTGTTAAACAAATTAAAAAAGCCGTATTTAAGGCAAATATCTACACGACGGGCCAAAGACAGTTAAATGTCGATGAAGGTAAGGACTCTCCGAGCGTCACCTCTTTATCGATCGACAATACAGACTCTTAGTCAAATTCTAGTAGCTTCACATTTAGGTAAGTTTTCAGTTTCATTACAGATAGAGAACCTCCTGACCCGGTACAATACAATCATTAATTCAATAAAGAACGGTACAATCATTCATCTCTTATCTCATCTTAAACCACGTCACCAAAAATCATTCACCTCAAGAAATCGAATCTTTGAAATTAAATTTCATTTGCATGCAAAAATAATTTCTAGGTTTTGTTTGCTCTGCCCAGGGTTTATTTTAGGGATTCCTGGTGTGCGCTCTGGACGGATTATTCAGGTTAATGCGTTTTATAAAAAAATCTAGTCCGATGTTCCATGGTTTCGTAAGTATAAAGTTACAAAACAGATAAAATCTGTTATGTCAGATGTGCATTTGGCCCCTGTGTGTATTTCAAGTCGCCTAGCTCTGTCTGTGAGTCTGTGAGATGGGTTGAGATGGCCGATAAAATCATTGTTTTTTATTGCGCCTTACGTGATTGCACTTCCCTTTAAGAAAAAAAATTTCTTAAAGATCCTCTTCCTTACTGAATCTCCTGTACAATAATACATTTTAAAAAACATAGTTTACTGAAGAAAATTAAAGTACGTAAGTACAATGTTATGATAACAATTTGAAGAAAAAATAAATACTTGCTACTCGCATTTATTCATACTATATATATTTTGTTTTACAGTCAAGTGGAAGTATTAAATACGAATGTATGGTTTTGGTATTGGCTCCTGGTGAGCACTACATAACAAGCGAAATTTTAATAGAAAAACATAAGTAAACATTTTGAAGAATTTTCTTACACAATGTATGTTTACTACAAATTTAAGATATGTCTCTCTGTAAAGGCTTACTATTTTATCATTTTGTTAATAAAAACAAATTTGAAAAAAAAAACCGCATAAGTTGTAAAAAATGTTTTTACATAATAGTTAATTAACTAATTTTTTTACGTGAAGAATTTTACGTATATTTATATATAATAAAGAAAAATAAGTACATTATAAGTTTAAAAATGTGTGTGTCTGTAAGTTATGTCATTATAACGACTAATAAAACATTATAGAGCATCATCTTAAGAAAAGGTGATGTTTACATAAAATAAAATTTTAGTTACTTCCAGATAGAGATATTTTTTATGTAACCGGGACTTTTAAGAACCTTGTATTTGGAGTACATTAAATATTACCATGAATTTTTAAGTAAAACAAAAAATCAAACAGGTGTTTTTTGCAAGTACCTACATTATTTAAAAAAATAACACTAACATTGTACCAACAATAATGCAAAATAAATTGCAACGTTAACAGAACATAAAATAGCTTTATAATTTATTTTTTAGCTAATTATTAACATTTATAAAGCGATTAAGTACTTATAAGTACTTTAGTGTTGTAAGTAACATGATTAAAGAGAAGTTTGGTAGTTTGGTAGAAAAGTTCTTGTTCTACCACATGTATGTATATTATATTCTACATTACATAGCGCAGGTAAACCAAAGCTACGATTGTTACTGGTATTTGTCCTACGAAGAAAACATATTATTAATGTTTCTATACTACAATTTTAGTTTACTAAATTTAACAGCCGTCACGCGGATTTTAACAACAAATGTCATTTTATTTTATTATTTAGCACACTTTACTCAATACATAAGTGATAAAAATATTGTATTAGACAATTATAATAAATATAATACAGAGTATATAATTGTGAAGATGTAAGAAAATAATAAAATAAAATGTAGACAATGTAGTGCACGTTATTAAAATACGTGTGTCACAAAATGTGTTAGTGTGCCTATACTATATGTGTATATCAAAGACATATTATATAAATTATTAGAAAATAAGGACGAGGATTTCTCTTTTAACACTACAATTTGTGCATATTCAATACTTATAAATTAACAACTGGTTAAGAAAAATACCGTTAGAAGGCCTGCTCTGCCTCTGGTATCACAGAAACGTGCCAAGAAATAAGCCATAAGGATTTAATTACAAAATTTCTACGACGTTCAAACAGTGCTGGCACTTAACCTATTTTGAATAAATGACTTTTGTTTTTGAACAAGGGAAACCAGCGGGTTGAACTCGAGGAGGTTTTGCTGAAATCCGAATTGAAAACTAGATACAAAAGATGCAGAAAGCGGTTTGGAAATAGTACTAGTTTTTATAAATGCTAATTATTTCACTATACGTGTTTTCTTAAATGTCCTTAAAAGTTCAATCATAATAAGTCATTTTCACGAGGATACTTTCTAAAATAGAACTTAGTTACCTATTAGTAATATTACTAAATGTATGTTGTAAGTTTTTTTAATAATTACCCTGCCTGCTGTATTTAAATACTATAATATAATAATACTGCTATACATGCAGTTGTATTTTCTAACTCATCAGTGTGCATTTTATTGAATTTATATTCTTATCTTGCCATATTAAAAATATCCTTACTTTGTTTTTTAAAATACAACTCCTGCTTTAGGAAAGATTCCTGTGACGCGGGGATCTTTAGGAACATTGAAACAGTGGACACAAAGAACGTCCAAAGACGAGCCTTTTATAAACGTTGAAACAATAAATTAGAAAAGCACCAACACTCATAACTAACTACAGTTACTTAAATATTTTCAAAAGAAACAAAAAGAAGAACTCATCAACCCTGATGAATGTAACTGGAAAAATAGGCCCTACTCCCGATTAAAATAGGTATTTTCTCTATTTAACGAAAAATATATCTCAAATTACAAATGTACAAAACAAGCAGAAGACCAATTCTCATAATAAAAGTTCGGTCACAATTCAGTTCCGATCAACTTTCGATCTCACAACTGTCATAAGAAGTATTTTTATAGTAACACAATAAAGTATTACTAGGACTAGCAGATTACCGACTATTAGACATGTTTAGTTAGATATATGTTACAATTCAATTTTCGGTTACAATACAATATAATCACATTACAGCCAACGTTGCAAGTTTAATACTTTAGTACGAAAATACTTCTTATGACAGTTGCGAGATCGAGAGTTGATCGGAACTGAATTGTAATCGAACTTTTATTACGAGAATGGGCCTTCTGATTATCTTTTAATAATAGTCTGCTTTACTTACAACCAATGTCGCAAATACTAAACATAGTTCAGCTGACCAAAACTTCCTGCGATTAAAATCGCTGCCTACAATTAATATCACTAATAGTCTCAAAGACAAATCTTTGATAGTCGCGGCGACTTATGTGCATAGTCCCGCGTACACTGCAGTGTTCTATATAAAGTCTATCTAGTGCTGTCGACCGCTATGATTTGAGTGAATCTCACGATTGAGGAACAGTTACAGTAATATCAGTCCCATTCTTCTTTGCGCTTGTCGCTTTGTAATACATAACAGCATCATGGACAGTGGGGAACGTCAATAAATTAAGTCTCTCCTTCTCTAAAGTGTTGAATCTCTCTATCATTTCTTGTACGGGGGCTGTAAAAGAAGAAAAGTACATTATAGTTTTATTTGTCATGTTTATGTTTTTTTATGACTCACAGCCCGATCACATTCAGTAAAGGCAGCTTAATACGTCATATAATTAATGAAATCGCATTTGCGTCGAAAATGTTAATCAGTGATGTTGAAGATAGCGCAGTACAGAGAATATAAAATAATTCAGCGCTTAGAGGTTTATCACTTTGTTATGATTGATGGGAGAACTTTATTTGAAAGTGTTTTTGAAGTCTGAATATTAAACTAATACTGTCATTATCAGGATAAAAAAGCGACATTAAAAAAATTACAGAAGAGCCATAAACAGTTTGAAGTATAAGAGCCATAAAAAGTTTGAAGAACATCCAAAATCCTATCCATTCTATCCTTAAAGTAGTCGTGTCACATACATAATTGACAGCTTTGATAACTGCATACATCTCCCACACGGCAGTCGGATCCCAAACTAGGCGGAGTCTGTACTAGGGTATCAAGACTGCTGATTAACATACTTACTTATATATTTCTAAATACATACATATTATAGATAAATTACACCTAGACAGAACAAATGATCGTGCTCATCACACAATATTTGTATTGGGTGGGAATCGTACCCTCGACCTCAGGCTCAGCAGTCAGGGTCACTAACCATTAGACCGACAGGCCAACATAATGTTTTTTTGTCTGTTCTGTTGATCGTTTTTTTTTGGTAGTTTTATTTTATATGGGTTTAAGTATGTGTATTGTATAAATATTTACCACTAGGCCCTGCAAGCAGCAGAGTAATGTTTTGGTTGGCTAGTTCTTCCTCCACTCCAACCAGAGCCTTAATGCCTGGCGCGTCCACGTATGACATCGCCGTTGCATCAACGATCACACATTGTAACTGAAAAAATAATTTTCTAATAATTAATCATTTTAGGCGTATATATTTTTTCAACAAAACAAGTTGATTATCGGAAAAAAACAAAAAGCCTGAATGCTGCTGGGTGATAATCGTAAACTTAAATTCACAAACTTAATTATTTTTTTAACATTTTAAGCATTTCTCGTTCACAATTATATTTTAAGTTGACTCGATAGATTTTTAAGAAAATAAGTTTTTAAAACAAAAATATGATTTGGCACAAAATTCAGCCTATTTATTTTTTATTCGTTTACAGTAAAAATATTTATTTACATACAAGCATCAGAAAAATTAATCAATCATCGCCTACTGGGAGCATTTCCAGAAGACTGGCAGCATTGGCACGTTGAGTGCGTTGAATGGCAATGCTAATTATCTGTGCTAGAAAAAAGCCGGCCTTTTGATGACGACACGAGAAGTGTCGATCAGTCCGAGCACCCGGAACCCATGACCGGTTGAAAACTGTAATTTTCTAGCAAATTTTGGTATTTACGCCGCTGCGGATGCAGCAGCAGCGCCGGCATAACCAGCTGTGCCAGGAAGATGTGATTGCGCAAGGGTGTCGACGCAAGTTGCGTCCCATACCAAAGGCTTACCCATCTTCCATGGAAGCAACGACATACCGTCCGGTCTCCTTCCATCGTCTTGTACCAGAGAGTAACAAGAGTACGACGGATAATGTCGAGATACAAGAATGGCCGTGATGTCCAAGACTGTCAACAGCTTCTCCGCAGTGACAAAGATGCGGAGAAACACAAGGCGCACCTAACCGAAGACAAGTGGCAAGGCGAGAAGTGATATCGTTCAACAAGGTGCCTATGTTGGGCGATGAAAGTGCCTGAATCCATAAGCCCATTCTCCCACAGCTAACAAACGAGCGCGCTCAGTAAGATGTATTATTTATTTTTTAATATTTTTCTCCTCAAACACCTCAAACCTCAAACGCCAATATCCATGAATCAAGTCAAGTTAAAAAGTTTATAACTATTTTCAGTTTAGTTAGATTAGCCTTCCTGTACATTCTAAAGTTTATGACGTTTCTCAATAATTGGACGTTTCAATCTAAAAACAATTTTTCAAACTTAACTGTTACTTTCATAGATAATTATTTATACTATTAAATATACTTTACCTTATTACTTGCGCTATGGTCCCACTCATACGACTCAGATCTATTGTAACCATCGTCTTTGGTTATTACGGAATTTGCGTCATCTGGGACCACGTCCGTGGTGCTGCGCAGGAGGCCAATCTTCCTATAGAGTTTGGTTCGGAAGATGTTCTTGCTGGCAAAGTTCAAGCCTCCGCAGTAGTGGTAGATCTTTACTCCGGGGATCTCGTGAGCCTGAAATGTACACAGGTTGGATTTGATACTACGTTCTTTAGTAAGTAGTGGTAATGGTAAAAGTCTCTAGACCCGGGCATCTGTAAAAGGCCACGATTACGCAGTACTAGTCATGTACTATATAAACAGAATCATTAGGATTTGTAGGACCCAAAAACAAAAAACGCCGTAAAAATATATACGGAAAGAGTAAAAAACAAAGAACCATTAAAATGGGTACATAATAATTCGATAATATGTAGTTCGATAACTTATAGAGCCCTAGCCCTAGGCCTGGCAGGGGTGTTATTCGCACATTGTCAATTCTTTGAAGTAGTAGTAACAAAAGGGTTTCTTGGCACGAATAATAGTCGGTTATACGTGTGGGCCAGAATGGGGGGTGGATGGTTGCGGAAATGAATATGTTATATATAAAAGGAATGCACCAGTAATGTACATTTATGAAATAAGAACAATCTATACAAATAAATAAAATTGAAGAGTCTGTTTGCAATGTCAAAATAATAGGTTTTTTTCATGCTCACACGGTTCTTTGCACGAGACCTATGCCTAAAAACCAGTTTAAATATTTATTGTCTGTCTTTTTGTTCTGGGTAATCTTCAAAACGGCTGGACCGATAATATTTTAAAACCAGGTAGCTGTCTATATAAGGAGTAACTTATAATATTTTTTCTGTCCGAAAAACCTTATATTTGTACCTTTACTTTCTAAACTCTCCGTTTTCCCAGCTGATCTCTGAGTGACCGATTGACGGCAGTAGGTTTGACCTCTATTATAATGTAGGTAGGACTACTTTTGCCTGGGGCGGCTTTTGGAGAGGTGCGCATAAAGTCAAGTAGACAATTGTTTATTTGAATTTCGCGCCATACGCGGCGCCGCTACCGCTCTCTTGCGTGGTAGTTATCGTGGCGTAAACGATTTACGTTTCATTGATTGATCATTGATTGCCCATGTTTGACAAGCTTTCAGTGTTAACTATCGGCTGATGCTTTTATGTGCTAATTTCAAAAAGACAAAGCCATCGCTATTATTTACCTGCCCCGGGCCTCGTCTAGATCTACCCGCCTAGGGCCTCGCAGTGGCTTAGACCGCCACTGACTTTTGTTACAGCTGTTATGTACAATCATATCGAGAGTAACGAAAAATATACCTATACGAGTAGTATTTCTCATTGATAAACAATAGAGTATGTATGTAATGCATGTTTAAAACTTATGTCACTGTATGTGCAATACAGTGAGATCCAACGTTAAAGGTTTTATTATATTTAAATAAAGTCGCGTTTTTACTGGGGACATTTATGATCTTACATAGTGAATACATAGCTTAAGAGTGTTTCGATGTCATTTTCACTGTTAATGTCAAGTAGTCTGTCAGTTAAATAAATAACATGCATTTAAATCACAAAAATTTAAAAATTTCATAAATATGTCTTTATTTCCTTAATACAATGCCGCGTAACCTTTTCTTGAATGTATTAATCGATGGAGCCCAAAAAATTCGTTTGTTATCAGATACGAAGTACGCGTATACCCTGGATTATCATGTTGGTTTGTTCAACTATATGATATGGATCATTTTTGTAATAATTAATATATTCTTCATGTGCTTCGTTCAATATTTTATATTGTGTTTGTTTAACGATAACGAAATTGATATGGCTAGTCGAGGAGTATTGATTTCACTTTAGTATGATACATAAACCAATCATTGCGGTTTATAATACGTATATTAAAAAAGTTTAACTGAAATTGTTTTATTTAAAATGCAATATGTACATGAGTTTAGTAGCAAAAATACAACAACCTTGGATATTATTTACACGTGTTTTATGGAGCAATCACGATGCAAAACGAACGAAAAGAAATCAAGTTTTCAATATTAGTACGTGACAGCTTCGTCTTACACTCACGTCAGGTCATTCTGTTTTCCTTTCCTGTAGGTGCAAAACTGATACCACTTGTTAAAAATTTTCTTTAAAATAAGATATTTGAATTCTGAAAGAAAGGTGATGAACGTGAAAAAGGCTCGAGGTGACGTCTGCCAATAATAAAACCTAAGTTACTACATGAGTATTATTCAATTAAACTTACAGCTCTGTATCTCTTGATGTCTAAGTAGATATCTGTGTCCATAACACGTCCCAAGATACACGTGTAGGGTGTCTGAGAGCGGATGAACAACGCACCCAAACTTGCGATCAAGCCGGCGAACAGACTAAAAATATATAAAAAACTTATTCACTGCTTTAGTACTCTACTATAATGTGTGTTTTCACTAGTAGCAACACTGACGATAACCTACAGTTCTCAGTGTTGCTACTAGTAAAAATATTTTTCTTTGAAAGCATTTACAAGCAAAAAGTTATTGATTTGCGTTAGTTAATTTGAGTTATTGATACAGGTTTTCAAACAAACTAAGAGCACGGACATTATAAACATATAAACCCAGTTGTCGATTAGAAGATATAAGTCGAAAATAGCCACACGTTTTTATAGTGTTTTAGTTTATTAAACTATATATAATATTGTTTTTTTTTTTTGTAAAGAATATAGAAAATTGTATGCTAAATAGCGAAAATGGCGTTGGCTTAAAAGGCGGTTTATTTGTTTTTTTTACAGTTAATTATAAGTTCATCTCTTACCCGACGTCGATATTGATGAGTGCTGTTACTAGGAATGAGATGAGCCACACGATAGCATCCAGCTTACTTAGTTTCCAGAATCTGGAAAAAAAGGTCATCACATTTTTAGTTATTTAATGCTTTTCTCTTTAATACATTATTTAGTGTTTTAAATGATCTGAAGGAACACTGTATGAATTTCAAAACCAGTAAATTACTTTTGTGATGGTGTAGTGATATTTTTTTTGGTTTTTACTCTATGGAAAATATTAAGAAATATATATTTAGAGTAAACTTAAAATAAAAGCTATTTTCAACACTAGATTAACCGTAAAGCTAGATTTAAATTGCACTCACTTTTTAAGATCCAATATCTGCATATACAGTCCCTTCAGCGATACAACAATGATGGATGCGAGGACGCAGCGGGGCAGCTTCTCGAAAAACGGTCCAATCCATAACACCACTACCAGCACGAATAAAGCACTTACGAGAGATGTTATTAGAGTCTTGCAGCCCGCCTGCAATCATAAGAAATACAATATAGCTTAGCAACTCTTCGAACAACATCATTATCATCAACAGCCATTAGTAGTTCACTGCTGGACATAGGCCTCTCCTTAGAAAGGAGGTTTCGGCTTACTATACCACGCTGGCCAGACGGGTTGGTATAGGGTTTGTTTAAAATTTCCTTCTCTTTGCAATGCTGTTGTCCTGCGTAGTTTGTTCCCTTAGTCACCTATTACGACACCCACGGGATGAATAGGGATGATGACATTCCGTATTCTTAATCTGTCACCACACGGACGTTCGAACAACAATTAAATAAAGATACCAAAATTTGGATATCACACAATCGAATGTGTGTCCTACACACTCAGCGTTAAAGTTCTTTTTACAATAACTAAATTCAGCCCTTAACGCACTTACAGTTATCTCGTTTAAGTGTACGTGTGCATTTTTTAATAAAATTGTCATTAATGAAAAGCAGTTACAAATGGTTTAATGCAAATATGGCCGTCTCAATTTAAACCTCACGGAAATGGTTCGTACTTAAATGGAAAGTTAATCATTTTAGTTCATCCTTGTGACATTATTACATTTCCTTAACTATTTTAGTGTCACTGTTGATACTAATTTAATAGCAGTCAGCCTACACATATTCTTAGTTATTGAATGATTAATGTAAAAAAATAGTCTTATACACTTTACTTACACTGTACTGTATGTACGATCGAGAAAGGCTAGCGCAAAATGGAGCACAGCTAAAGAAGGCACCGAACAGGTTGCTAGCTCCCTGAAATAAAATTGGTAAGTTGGAAGTATTTCAAAAAAAAAAACAGTGCAGGAAGGTTCATTTGGTGTTTAGCTTAAGTTGGACCTAAAGCCGCCACATTGCCATAGTCCAAATACACTCGAGGGCCATAAATCCGGAGCGGATTGGTAATTGACTACCTTCAGAAGGTCAACATTAATTATATGGAGTAGCCAGTCTTAATACCCTTAACACGATAGAACGTGCTTTGAACGAGCCCCAACGATGCGTGAGACACCGACACCCTACCACGATCATGCTTCTATTGCTCGTATAGAGGAATGGGACCTCCGATACTCAATGTATGTATAAAATGTAGTGTTTTTTATTATTCCTTGTAAATAGAACTTGGATATTTTTCCTTTTTATAAATTTTCAAGATTATTATACGAGTATATTGTGACAAAGTGACTAATGCATTTATTTATTTTCAGACAAGGAATAATTATAAATTAAACACAAGTTATTACCTACTTTTTTATGGTATAAGGGGGCAAACGAGCAGACGGGTCACCTGATGGTAAGCAACTACCGCCGCCTATTGACACTAGCAACTCAAAAGTCACAAGTGCGTTGCTGCCCTTGGAGTCCCTCCCGCTCGAGTCAGCGGGACTACATTTTCAGTTGACGTTTATGCGACTAGGATTTATTGGCCTCGAGTGTATTTAGATGAAAATTATTATTGTCGTATTTTAAGCTTATCGATTGTTTAAAATTAATTGAAATGATGTGAATTCTGGTTCTGATGTTTTCAACATTGATGAACTTTTTCTTACGCTCCCTAAATGTTATGTTAGATATCATTGTGGATCATTGTTTTGCGGTGAATAAGAACCACAGCAGTGGGAATGTGAATAGGTTTAATCCTATTTAGCACAGAAAAAGGAATAACATTCTTTGTTCTGTGTTATTTAGGTAGATGTAAGTAAGTATTTCTGATAAGAGTAAATCCAAAATGTTGTACTATTTCAAAGTAAAAATAACAAGTTGGTTTATTATACAAAAATTATGTCTCATTCAACATTAAGTACCTAACTACAAAGTTTTGACATTGTGACTTCCATACATAATGAAACAGAAACATACATTCAGTCAAAAAAGTATCGGGAATGGATGGTTTGTTTATGGTACCAAATTCATATTTTTGTTTTTTTTTCCTAAACTCTAATTACTACTTCGTGGCACCCGTTTTCAATCGGTAGAAGACATAAAGGAGAATTCGCGGCGAGAACTGAACTGATGATTGGATTATTCGTTGGCGTAAGTGTATCGTTTCTGAAGGAGCATACTTTGAAGATGATATTTTTTTTTTGTGTATTGATCTTTTCCCGGTAATTTCTTGACAGAGTGTACATCGGAATTTCCCCAAGTCAGAACTACTCAATTAAATAACGAAATGAGTTTTTAGTATGGATGATTAAATTTAGGACCTTATAGTCTCACCATAGCCAGCAGTTCTTGGTTGGCGTCTATTTCATATTTTTCCTTGACTGCGAAAATAAGTCCCATGGACAGTGTGATACTGTACGTCACCATGGTTAACATAAATGCGTCCACCACGAGGTATCCCATTAGATCCAAAGGAGGCACTTGCGGTAAAGGTAGACTGTAATGATAAACAGATTTGTATGAACATTACATGCTTCAAAAATATTAACTTTATATCATGACATTAATAATGTTTTGGTTTCGTACCATTTATAAAATAATATTAATAAAAAATTAGATCTTTCAATATATATACAAAGTCAACGCAAAAAATGTATTTTCAAATGTTTAATTACACAATTAAATTTCATTGCTTAGAAATGAATTTCTTTTTCAAAATGTAAATGTATAAAAAAAATGTGTAAAATTTTAGTCTCTTATGTTACACTTGGTTTCAGATCTGTGTGTACAATGTAGTGTAATAAAGTGTTAAATGTACCCGGTAGGTATGTGTCCGATCAGGGTCATGTTGTAGTTCTCGTGGAGCATCGCATATTTGGAGACCAGGGTACCCGAGACGACCAACAGCAACTCAGTAGGTAGTGGGATAGGAACCCGTTTGCTCATCCATGGCTGTAAATTATTTTATATTATAATGTACCTTTTAGAAGAACTTAAAGGGAATAGGATGGTATACTTTTATTACTGACATAGCTATATATTAAAAAACGCTTTTTTTTTTTAATTTATGTATCATACAAATCCAAAAATACGAGAAAGGTTTGTGAGATGGTACACAGATAGTCAGTATCGCAAATTTACAATTATTTTCACACAAGTACTCGTAGATTTCCAGCCATCTATTACCGTATTATATCACTATGAGAATTAAATAAATGTGTCTCTTAAATGTGAATACTTTAATTATATCTTCGAAAGATTAGTACAGTTGTTTATGAAAAAAATTTTAAGTTTTAATTCATTTTAATTTAATTTATTTTTTAAATAATTTTGATTATAGGAGACAAGTGCGTTGCGGCACTTTAATTGCTGCTCCATCCAGGGAGGGAGGTTTCGGCCTCCGGTAATCTCATTCAACCAATTCAAAAAAAAAAGTAACAATAAAATTACTTAACACCGATTCTCTGAGAGGCCGTATATCACTTAAGTAGAGCCGGCCCATTTGTGCCGAAGCAGTAGCTCTCCCATGTCGTAAACTGTGATTGGATTTATTACGAAAACGGCAGTACAGAAAAAGATATATATACCTTCATAAAAAAAATCTTTCCTTCGGCACGGTACAGTAAAAAGTTCAATACCTGATTTAAAAAAAAAAAGTGTGTGCTCCGACGCACGACTAGAGTTTACTCCTAAAAAACGATTCGACTGCACACAAGTATCTATAAGTTATACACGTATACAGTACACATGTGTAAGGTACAAGAGGTCCTTCCATCACTAAATTTTACTCTTTTTTTTTTTGATACCGGGGCGCCTTACATGAAAATCAAGTATTAAGAAGTAAACTTCAAAAATTAACTTTTACGCAAGCGAAGCCTTTAGAGAAAACTAGTGGATTATAAGAGAGTTTGCCCTAAAATCTACCCAGCTACAGATATGTAAAATACCACAATAAATACATGCCGCAAAATTCCAGTTACAATATTCAAGTAAAAAATAACAGAGAAAGATAATTTACCTTTAGATGTTCATTGTTGAGTGCGAGAAGGAGACAGGTAATGAAAGAGATGGCCACCGCCACCCAGTTCAAGCTCGGCAAGCGTTTCGACACTTCAATTACATTCTATAAAAGAAAAAAAAAGAATTAAATGTTTTGACCAACAATTCAGCTCTGATACTGGGCGTATACAGAAATTCTAAATATGTTGTGTCTTCATTCATCTTTCAGCAGCTTGTACAGAAGAGATCTGTCCTTCGATCAAAGGATCTAGCTGTCAATTTTCGGTTTTTCGGTTTTTCGTTCACTGGAGTTTCCTCATCTTTTTGTTTGTATTTAAAAAATAAATTTGTCACACTCAAACTATTCGAAATGCTTGCGTCATCTAACTGGATCCTCATAAGCTACTTGGGGCAGTGGTAACGTTCTTGGTTTCCGAAACGAAAGAGGTTTTTCTGGTATTTGTTGCTGTGAGATGAATAATGTATGGTGACAGGATTACTAAGTTATTTAATAAATAATATTGTTTATACTTACATTTATGACTTTATAGTTGGTAGGTAGCGCTGGTATTTTAATGCCGAACAAATCCTTGAGTTGTGACGCCAGCACTTGGAGCGAGGCTCCGGTCGTGAACCCTGACACCAGTGGCTCTGACAGCAGCGTGGACACGGCGCCCATCCGGAGACACCACATTAACAACTGTAACGCCCCACAAACTTTTATTACAATATATTCTTTCAGGACACAATGTTGACGCAATGATTTCCTCCTAACAAACAATGTGTCACGTTGAGTACTAATATAAGTATAATATATTTTTATAACTTTAACTTAATCTACGTTTTTCTCACTTTTCCACAGATCTTTTTCTATTGTTTGAAGCACTGAACGCTCTCAATAAAAAAATAGTTTTTTTCCACCTTCCAATGAGCTTTATTGTTGTCAATAATTTAATTAATAACTATCGCATTTAAACAGAGCCACTGAGATTTTAAAAATCTCTTAATTTGTTAAAAAAAAAATAACAACATTGAAATTAAGTTAAAGTTAAAGATCAAAACAAAAATTCAAGGAACAAGAGAAACTGACCTGAAATATTCCAACCATGAAGGAAAGCACAGTTATTACTTCTACCGCCGTATATTGAGCAGGGTTTTCCTCTGAAGACAAGAAATAAAACATAATAATATGATACATATATAGATTGGTTTGTTGTTTTATGAATGTACAGATGACATCCATAAATCAGATGTACGGATGTACAGGTACATGACACTCGAGTATGTATAATAGAGGCCAGTGCTACATGGTCTAAAGATCATTAAAAATATTTATTGATAATTAGAAATGTGTTCCGTGTGGTGACAGATTAAGAATACAAAGTGTCACTACCTCTATTCATCCCGTGGGTGTCGTAAGAGCCGACTAAGGGAAAAAAACTACGCAGAACACCAGCACTGCAGAGAGAAGGAAAACTTAACACAAATCTTATACCAACCTGTCTGGCCAAAACCTCCTTCCTAAAGAGAGGCCTATGTCCAGCAGTGGACTGTTAAAGGCTGTTGATTAATTGATTGATTGAATTAGAAATGGAGACTAAAAAATAAAAGTTACATACCTGTGCCAATTGCGTACTGTTGAACACACTAAAAATAAAAAATAAACAAACTTAGGATACATGCGGGTTTCGTTAAGGTGTATACACACTACAAGTCAAAGACGTTTCGAATTATAATATTTTTACTACGTATTTATTTGAAGTATTAAATCTGAATTCTTTATCTTTTCTTTTCTTTTCTAGAGGCAACTCCCGCGCTAGGAATATATCCTGTGTCGCGGGGGACTTTACAAACATACATGAAACGGATACAAAGAACACCCAGACTCAGAAGAACAATTTATGGATCACACAAAGTTTCTTCCCATGTGAGGATCGAACCCACGACACTCAGCGTAGTGGAAGCGGTGTGGTGACCACTTAAACCACTACGCCATTCGTGCACTAAGTGGTTGGTTCATATATCAACCACAGAAACATTGAGATTTGCTAACATAACTGTTTGACATTTTTTCATATTACAAATAGGCATGTAATTGAATCACATATTTGTAAAAGATCTTTCAGATCAATTTATTTCGTAATGGGACTATATTTTAGTAACGGGAACAAAATTTAAGACATTTTTAATTTATTTTTATTTTTTTGTATAAATTAATATTACTGTTATTTATGGGACTTTGGTGAAAACAATCACAGCCTGTCAACATGAGCTATAAGAGAAATAACTGATTTATAAACTTCTTTACACGTGGCAGATATTATAAATACTATATAACATGTAATACTAGCATCTACTTTGTTTATGTAGTTTGTATTTATGTGAAGTCAAAAGGAAGATTTACCTTTCCACACATGAGCATACCGACAGCGAATGTCCCCAAAGAGACGTGGGGCGACGTGCCCAGCAATACATACACCAACATTGGAAAGAACGCCATGTACAGCCCCGTGACAGGCGGGGCATTTGCTAACAGTGAATAAGCCAGGCCTGAAAAACAAAAGTCATGTAAAACAAGTTGAAATAAGGTTAGGCAATGGTCCTTTTTTTTTTTTTTTATAAAAATTTTTTTTTTTTAACGTGTGGAAATCCCCTCGGACCGTCACCCCTCCGGGGTTTGCGGCGGGGTGGTGTGTCGGACTCGGACCGACTAAAACCACACGGTGTGCCACTCTGCGCCTGTAACAGGAGGGATCCGGGAACAGCTGTTGTTAAGACATCCGGACCCCTCCTAGCGCCAGCCCGCTCCTGGTGCGGGCTCCGTCTCGATATATTTTCCCTCTCTTTAGGCGACGTCCGGCACACGCGGACGCCGCCCCCTCGCGGCTGGCCAACTAATGCGGGTGGAGGGGAAACCCACCCCGTCCACCCGCGGCCACACTCAGGGCGGCATGAGGCTGTGATAGCCGGGCCTCCGCCGCCCGGTTCGCCGGCGGCGGATCGGGTCCGAGTGGAGGTCGTCCTCCCGGGCCCTCTCCGCCGCCTCCTTCCGCGAGATTACTACCTCGCAGAAGGTTGCGACCGCGGTAAAACAACTGTCGCTACCGGCCATGGAGCGTACTACGGCCGGTAGCGAGAGATCCACTCCGATGACTGCAGTGAGGGCCCGGCGCTGCGCCGCCCATGCGGGGCAGACCGCCAGCGTGTGCTGGGCCGAGTCCTCACTGCAGTCGCAGTGGTGGCAGGCGGGACTCAGTTCCCTCCTAGCGACCGTGTGCAGGTACTTTCCGAAGCAACCGTGCCCGGAAAGCACCTGCGTCAGTCGGAAGGAAAGGGTCCCGTGCTGCCGCCCTGCCCACTCGGCGATGACCGGCTGGAGAGCCTCCACGGCGGCGAAGCCAGCGCGTGGAGTCTCCAGCCGGAACGACCAACGAGCCATCGTGGCTCGGCGAGCGGCTTCGCGCCACTCGCGCACATCCTCGGGCGGAGGGCGAAATCCGCCTTCCGCCCGGAAGTCAGCCACTCGCCGATAAACTTCGGCGAGCACTTCCGCCTCCAAATCCCACGGGGGAGTTCCGGCCAATGCGCATGCCACCTCCGTCGAAACGGTGCGGTAACCGCGTATGGCTCTGACCGCCATTACCCTCTGAGGGCGCCAGAGGCGTACCCTATTCTGGGCGGTCAGAGCCGCCGCCCACACCGGTGCACCGTACAGTGCCATTGACCGGACAACCCCCGTGTACAGCCGTCTTGTCGCGACGCTGGGTCCACCCATATTGGGCAAGAGTCGCCCTAGGGCAGACGCAGCGCCGACCAGCTTTGGAGCAAGCTGTCGGAAGTGCTCGTCGAAGAGCCACCTCCCGTCGAGGATCAGGCCCAGATATTTCATCTGGGCCCGAACCGGTACGAGGACCGAGTTGACCACTATTGAGGCGCCAGGGGGTGGACCACGACGGGGCCCATGGAATAACAGGGCCTCCGTCTTATCGAGGGCCACCCGTAAGCCCAGCGCCTCAATGCGCCCGACCACCAGGGAGACTCCCCCTGTGGCCAGGCGCGCCGCCTCTTGGAAGTTTGCCCCCCGGGCTGTCACGAGGGTATCGTCTGCGTAACAGATTACACCCAGCCCGGGGGGGAAATTGGCGCGAAGGGCCCAGTCGTACCCTATGTTCCACAAGAGGGGTCCAAGAACAGACCCCTGTGGAACACCGCACGACATGGGCCGACACCTCAGGTTACCTTCTCGGTCCTCGTACACGACGGTACGCTCCTCTAAATAGTCTGCCACCAGCCGCCTCAGGTACTTTGGCACCCCATGATAGTGGAGTGCTTCCCTGATGCAGCTGAATGGCAGACTATTGAATGCGTTGGCGATGTCTAATGACACCGCCAACAGCACGCCGCCACAGCTCACGGCCTCTTCGGTCACGGCCCTCAGGCGCAACACGGCGTCGACTGTCGAACGCCCCGCCCGAAAACCAAATTGGGCGTCCGACAGATCGGGGCCCACCTCGCAGAGGTGCCGGACGATGCGGGCAGAAAGAACCCTCTCAAACAATTTGCCCGCCTCGTCCAGCAGCACGATGGGCCTATAGGCCGCGACCGAATCGGCAGGCCGTCCCGGCTTCCTCAATAGGACCAGCTTCCCGCTCTTCCAGCACTCAGGGAAGCGTCCCGACGCCAAGCTAGCGTCGAACATCTCCCCGAGGCGGTCTGCCATGTGGTTGAGGGCCAGGGCCAGCACTCGGGCCGGTACCCCGTCTGGCCCAGGGGCGGTGTTCTTGGAATGGATCCGTAGAACAGCCGCCCCTACCTCCGAATCCCGGACGGGCGGAACATTGTCCTCCCCGTGCTCCCCGTCGTCTCCGGCCAGGGAGGCCATCGACGGGGGAGTGTGTTCCGCTCGTTGTGGGAAAAGGCCCTCAACCACTTCTCGCAGGAAGCTGGGCTGGAGAGTCTCCGTAAGGGGGGGGCCCGACGCGCGGAGCTTTTGTCGCACCGCGCGGTAAGGGCGACCCCAGGGGTCACGATTAAGACCCTCCAGCATCTCCTGTCTCTTTTCCTCTTTGGCGCGGCTAATGGCCAGCTTCAGAGTTTTCCGAGCCCGTCGGTACTCCTCATGAAGCCGGTCCTCCTCACCGTCTCCACGGTGACGCCGCCGACTGCGCGTGTAGGACCTCCGGGCACGTGTACAGGCCGCACGGAGGTCCGCCAGCTCCTGGGACCACCAGTAGACCTCCTTCCTTGGAGGCCGACGACCTCGAACGCGGCATGGCCGCATCGCATACATGCGTAATCGCATCGCGAAAGCGGCCAGCCCCCACGTCGACCTCCTCGGTCGGAGCCTGAGGAGACAGCCACGAGTGAATTATGGCTGCCTCCTCTAGTAGGTCCCGGTTCAGCCTGGCAACAGCCCACCGCGGAAAGCGGGATAAACGCCGCGCCACGTGACCCCTACTGGAGTCCTGGGTCCGGGAGAGCTCAAATCGGATATACAGGTGATCCGAGAGCGTCTCAACCTCTTCCAGGACACGCCAGTTCCTTACTCGTGCGGCGAGGGCAGGGGTAGCGAACGAGAGGTCCACTATCGACCCCCCCTGCTGTCGCACGCACGTGTTGGTGGAGCCTCTGTTTAGAAGACAGAGGCCCACCGAGGCCGCCCACTCCTCTACGGCCTCGCCCCTGGCGTCCGTCCTGGGGGAACCCCACGCAATGGACTTTGCGTTGAAGTCCCCCAGCACAAGGACGTGCCCAGACGCTAGTCGCCGTATCGAGGTCTCCAAGCTGGTCAGGAAAACCTCGAAGTCGTTCAAACTCCGGTTGGGGGAGAAATAGACACCATATATGGTGATCCCCCCCCACTCGACGGTTAGGCAATGGTCCTAGTATAAGGTCTTATCTTACCTTGAGGTATATGCATTACAGCGGTGGTTGCTCCGGCTATGAAATCGTGTACAAAATGCTTCTTGAAATTGTACTTGGGTAGCCATTTTATGATTGGCACCGCGTTTCGAAGGCATTCGCCGAATCCGCAACTGCGGACCAACACCTTGACACGCCGTGACCCTGGAAATGTAATAAGTTTACAATTTAATAAAAAAACTCATTCCTATTCATCGCATTCAATTTTATGTTATGAATTTATTGTTTAAAAATCTAAGTTTATTTAGATAACAAATAACATGAATATTAACAATGTAGCAAATGAATTTTGCTATAAGTAGACCCACGAACAAAGAGTCTGGTGATACAAACAGATGGCTTCATCACAATTGGTATGATATAAAAATGTATCATCAAGAGATAGTTAACGTCATCCTACCACGAAAAGTTTAGCGATAAATTCAATTTTATTATTAAGTACAATCCTAGTTGAACGGGTTTAACTTCCCGTTAAATTTACAGGTACGTGATGACCCTTCTCTACGTATTGATTACATGTCGTATTTAATCTGTATAAGCAATATTGCCCGTGTGGTGATGGGTTTAAAATACGGAGTGTGACCCCCGTATTCATCCCGTCAACAAACTACGCAGGGAAAGGGACTACTGCAAAGGGAAGGAAAACTCGAAAAAATCCTATACTAAACCGCCTGACAAGCGTGCCTTTCGAAGAAGAGGCCTATGTCCAGCCAGTGGACTACTAAAGGTAGTAGATAAGCAATATTAGGCATTTTAGGAACTAAAATTTGAGCAAATTATGCGTGAATTGTAGGGGAAAGAATAGAAGAAAAGGCCGTGGAAGATAACGGAGTAGAGAAACTTGTAACTCGAACCAGCTATTGCCGAAACATACACAGTAATATTTTTATTAACTGCTACATTGTGTTAAATAAATGGTGTCAAAATACTTCGGAATTTAGAATGGTATACGAACTTATAATCTGCTACCATATTAATACAGATATGTCAAAGATAAACTTAATTTCATGAATTGACTAGCTTTTGTCCGCCCGCGTGTATGTCGGTTATTGCGATAAAAAGTGGCCCCTATACTCGTTGATATACTTTGATGAAATAATTTTTAAAATTGGTTTCGTAGTTTAGGTGTGAAATCGTAACAAACAAACTTACTTTCAAATTTATAATATAAGTATGGATGTGCATATGGTTTAAGGTCTACCGAAACGAAGCACCTATTTCAAAAATATTTCCTTATTTGAATGTTATATTATTTTAGACAGACAAAGATTTTACTAAAAACATCGATCAACCTTCGAAAAGTTCAGTCGTGTAATTATTTATTATTTCGTGTTTCTAACTTTGAAAATGACGAAGTTCCATACAAACGTTCATGGCGTTTTTACCTCCTTAGCGGTAAAAATCCTTTCTCAGTGGGTGCTTACAACATAAAAACCATCAGCTGCCAAAATTTCAAGCTCGTAACCCCAGCGGTTTAGGCTCTGCGTTGATGGATCAGTCAGGCAAGGCACGTAATTTTGTATGTAAATGTATACACTTACATGGGTGGTGGGGATATTGATATTCAGCGTCTTTGTTGAGTCTCTCCTGTTGGTAGACTCGCCGAACTACGTTGAACTGTTCTGTGCTCACCGCCCCTTGCCTGTTGGTAAAGAAAGAAAATAAATCATTTCGAATTTGATATGGTTAAGGATAAAAAAAACTATTTATCTATTATGCCGGTTTTGACTGCAAGAACGGCGTAGTGGTTTTAGTTGTCACCTCGCTACTTCCTACTGTTACTGGTTCGATCCCCATATAATTATGTGACAACACTTTGTGTGACCACCAAATTCCTCTAAGGCTGTGTTCTTTGTGTCAAGAATGTTTGTAAAGTTCCACTAAACACAGAATATAATCCAAATTCGGGAGTTGTCTTTTATAAAAAAAAAAAGTTATGATCCGTTAAATTCGAACAGTTTTGGTGAATAATATTAGATGTTTAGGATTTATGAGGAAACTATTAAAAGATCAAGAGTTTATTTCCAATATTCATTTGATAAGAAAGAAAAAAAAGTGATACTTTTTTTTTCTGGATCTGGATCTGAACTTTAATCTTGTAAAAATATTTTATTGCAAGGTTCTGTTACGGTTTCAGGTATATTTTAATTTCGGATACCCATTTTTGGTTCCGATTACAATACTTTCATCATTGGTTGAAATAAATTATTTACTCGTTGAATTAAGTGTTCTAATTTCATAAAACGTATACGTACTTAGTTGGTATCTTCGCCTCATCTCGTTTTATTCGCTTGGGTTCCCCGCCACTTCGTCTAATGGCGGGTTTTTGCAAAGCAAACGGTTTGGTTAACGCGGTTCAGATTTCGTGAGATAAAATATTTTCTGAAGACTACTGTTACATTCAACCAGTGGCCACATTACATTCTAACTAACTTTTTTCTTACGTACTTATACGTAACAATATGTTCCAGATTAGAGAATAATATTTTATACTACATCAATGACGCAATACGCTGCAATATTCGTAATCCCAAAAAAAAATAGAATCTGAGAAGGGAACTGAACTTGGTAAAGGAGAGACTGTTCACATGTCTGAGATTTTGACATAAGTATGAAGAATTCGTAATATTGTTCTGAGTACATTAGATTGTAAACCGGAGGACAAAGGGAAAAAAAAATTTTAAGGGTATAATGTAGCAGATATCATGGGTTTAGCAATGATCATTAATTAAGCGTTATTACAATTTTTTAATTGACATGCGCTTTGAAGTATTCTAGTGAGTTGTTGCAACAGTCGTTTACAAGAGGGCAGTGCGACTGCAATAATTGAAAAACACGTTCTTTATATTTCAATGAAGTTAATTGGTTGTAAAATTGCGTACTTTTGGATACTGTTGGAAAATTTACATTTCAGAAGTCGTTATTGATACAATCTTTACCACTTTTATCTCAAAAAAATAATGAATAAGATGTGGATTGGTGTAAAGATACAATTATCATTTAACAATTAAATCTGTAATTCTTTAGAAACTTACTTAGTTTCTTATTATGTTTTTAATTAAGTCTATCGCGAACGAACAGCACAAACGAACTGTAATGATATAAAACTTTCGTCGTTTTGTAGATAATTGACTAACTCAATTATGAATAAATCGTCATATTTTTGTTTTAAAACATTGGAAATTCAATAAAATGTATAAAACTCGAAGTAAATATTCCTTCTTTCCGACAAACGGGGCTTCAGAAAAGAAGTGAAAACTTTTGGTGACGATTGGTGGTAGAATTTAACTATTGTTTAGAGCGCGGGGACAGTTTTTGTTACATACATTGTTTTTAACATAGTCGATACATAATTGAACAGTGGAGTGATACCGCGGCCTCACTGAAAACCGGTGTTACACAATTTTTTGAAGTGAAAATTTCTTTAGGCGCGTTGGGCGTTTTTGAACAACAAACAAAAGAATGTATTTTTTGAGATGGGAAAAAACCATTGAACTCGCGACACTGTTACCGTTACCGACTCCTTTGTATATAAGTATCTACATATATTGGCCAAGATTTTAAAACTTTCAAATTTTTACTTTCGTCGGCACTCCCGGAGTGCCACTGTTTTTTTTTTCGTTGCTTTTCACTGAGCGAGTGAGGTTACTAGAACACAACCAAATCTATCTGTCTGTCTATCTGTTGCCTCCTCATGCTTAAATCGCTGAACCGACTTTGATGAAATTTGTTATAGAGATAGTTTAAGTCCCGGGAAAGGACATAGGATAGTTTTTATCCCAGAAATCATCCTTTAAGGTGGTAAAAAGTGGGATAGAAGTTTGTACGGGGAATCAATAACCGCTGAACCGATGCAGATGAAATTCGGTATTTAGATAGTTCGATTCTTAAGAATGGACATACTTTTTACCGCATAAAGCATAACTAAGACGGAATAAACCCATTGCAATTTTTTCTTACAGCAGTTAATACATATAATTGTATCTGTGTTGTTGTTTGATGAACATAACTCACAATTCGTGAGTTCAACAGTTGCGTGTTTTCGTACGTAATTTGTTACACGAGGCAGTTTGTTGATAACCAGAAATTTTAATCTATAGGTATTTACCTATAGATCTTTTATCAGGGATGGTATTATTTCTTCAAATTTGAATGGGGCCAAACGTGTATACTCACATAATAAAAATATATATATTAAAATTGGTTTATAAATAATGAAGTTCTTCAGAAACTTCTAATTTCTTAAGTCGCTTAAAAATATAACACGCTAAGTTGTGTTAGACGTTTTTAAAGATGTAGAGTAGAACAATTTGCTTGCATAAAATTTGGGTCACGTTACAGAGGAAATAATTGTATTTTTGTTATGTCACACACATGTTACTGTATTGCGGTATTGCTAACCTACATACTTTAAGTGTCTCAGTACACAGCTGTATCTCGTCCACAATTTAAAAATTACTTTCATATGAATTGTTATAAGTTAAATATTACTTTGTTACTTAAAAAACAGTGTTCATGCAGCACACGCTCAACGGCCTGATATCAAGCGGTTACCGGTATCTTAAAAGTCAACCTCAGACCACATCTATACACTGTTTCAGCAACGCAGAGCCTAAAACTGCTGGGGTTAAACTTGAGATTTTGGAGGCTGATGCTTTTTATGATGAAAACACCCACTAAAAATGATTTTTTGGAAATTTCAACCCTAACAAGGTAAAATGAGAATAAACAATTTTATAATATAAACAGAGAAATTTCTTCATTTTCAAAGTTAGAGATAAGAAATAATCATGGGAGAAGCCTCGGGCAGACGGCAATAGCTCGTTCAGTATAATATGGACGCAACGACTTAAATTATATATATTTTATTTTTGTAGGTTTATTAGGACATATATTATAATATGTAGGTACCTATGTATACACAGATCCTAGAAAACAAAAATCCTACATCTTCTGCACGTAACTATTTTGTGACGTCTCCAGAATCTGTTCTTATTCTAAACAAAAATGTTAATTATCCTTCGAATATAAGGTTTGATATTACTAGCATAGAAATCATATATTGTACATATATATGGCGGTCATATTTAAATAATAATAATATTTCGGACATCTTGACTGATAGAATATCTATATACCTACTTGTTTTTCGTAAATACATACATATTATATATTATACTACTAGTAATATAGTGCTAGAACACCTATTATCTATATTTTAGTATGTTTACAGAATATCAATATCAAATAAAATTGATTAATTATTTACTAATGTTTACAGAGAAAATCTTAATATTCTTATCAACATGATAAAATAACAACATTAAATAATATTAGGTTAGATAATAAATTGGTACGTACAGACTATTTAGCCTGTGTATATTGTATTATATGATAAATAACTTGCCTTTCTTCAAGATATTCATCTTGTTCTTGTAACAGAGGTGACCGCTCATCACTGTCTACAAAATCTGATTCGTACAACAAGAATGTTTTATTCATACGCATGTTTCTTTTAAAGTTATCACAATTACGATTACACTACAAAACACAGGATTTTTGCAATGTATCTAAATTGATGCCAAAAAAGAATAGAAATACACTATAGCAATAATAACAACCACTATACGATTTTTATATGTCTGGGCTCTTGCCATAGGCAAAACACATATTTTCAATAATACGCCATCCGGAAAAACTGTTTGGTTAAATTATTTAGATATTTTCCTCACAAAGCACAAAGTTTGTACCGTGTTAATATAATATTAACGTAACTGACGTTTAATAAGGCAATTATTTCGTTCTGAACTGAATCTAGTGGGTCTGCAGATAACGCAACCGTTGGTGCCGGACGCAGAGCCATTGGTTGCTAGCAGAGAAATTCTGATTGTAAATGACCTCGCTTATTGACGAAACTATGTAATAAGGAATTAAAAATATTGTGCTTAGTAATAACAATAATTAATTAAAGCTTCTTTCTATGTTAGAGGGGGCAGACGAGCAGACGGGTCACCTGATGAAAATAAAAGCTTAAATATATGTTGACATTTAAAACGTCCACATATGTCCTAGATTATTGATGCAATATGGGCGTAAATTCTGTGTTATCTTCTGTTTTTATAACTGGTTCTCATTAGCTATAATAATGACTGACATGTTTTTTTAACGCCGCCAAGTATTTTAATTAAAACCGTTGTGCATTCAAGTATATTTTTTATTGAATGCACAGGAAAAAGACTACAGAAAGTAAAAACATGTGGATTTGTTTTAAAGATTGATAACATTACTACGTACTTTTCATTTCATTTCAATTAAAAGCATTTATTGCATATTATTGACTAACAGAAAGGATACAATGACCCTTACATTATAATACATTTATAAGAAAAATATGTGTCAGTAGTTTTATGGTCGGCTTCCCCCTCTTCAGGAAGTGATGATAGAGACAGGTATAAGGTCAAATAGAACGATATGTGAAACGTTGGATGGAGGCACGAAAACCAATTTTTGAATTAATAAGGTGCACTATTAGAACTTATTACTATATGATTACGCTCGTAGAGTCGCCATTGCACATTTACATTTAATAATCTAGAGATACATAGAAATAGAAGTGAATGCTATCAGATGGGCAGTGGTAACTTATGTTTTTATTCGAAATCGTGGAGACAAAGGTCGTCGCTTAACCCTGTAGTTAGTGACACAACGAACGTGACAAGGTTTGCAACTTTCATGAACTATTGGACATTGCGAACTAATCTATTGTAATTACAAGATCGAATAGTCTGATTTGTATGTTTATACATTTCGATATCTAATTTTGGACTTCCAAATTTTGAAGGGAGGGAGGACTTAGGTACTCGTAAATATTTATGTAAAATGTATCGATGGTATTAGCTACGAACTAATCATGATTAAATTTTACAAATACAACCCAGTTGTTCAGAAAAGGACACAGGCTTTTATCAAGAAAAAGCTGTGCCTAATCTCATATACTCTCATAAGTTCATATACTTGTCTAAATATTAGCGTTAAGGCAGGTATTTCTTGATATAAATTATATCGACTATTATTCTAATAGATATATCTGTCAATACATGGTTTTGGATACAAAAATGACTTTTAATGAAACTTATTCAGACAATTCATTACTGACTTATACAATAAGATGTACCTATACCTAGACGTGGTCGGCATATCCGATGAATTATCACCACTGTGTTACAAACATGCATCACCGACTTCGTCTAGTTTACATATTACTATTATGTCATCATATTTACTGTTGGATTTCTATTCAGCTCACGTTTAATTTGCCAAAAGTTACAAAAACCTAAACTAAATTGTTTACAATAATTTTGGCGGCAGTGCATTGTCATTTTTGACGTTTAACTCGTAATAATAGTAACATTCCATTACACCATATTATTTGTAATAAATACTCATAGTGAGTCGACTCCTTTGATAGCTCGCTAAATACCAATAAGATTGTCTCGAATAAAAATGTGCTAGGATTGTCACTAAACCGATCACGATAGTAGGTTAGTGGTTAGTACCCCTAAACACAACACCCCTCCCTCCCTTAATTCGACGGAAGTCAATGGAAAGTCGTACCGAGAGTTTTATTGTACGCTCTCTGTCTTATATTAGATAACACGTAAAGTAAAGAGATAATAGTACTATTGTGAGTTAATCAAATAATAAAAATATTGTGAGAAATCTTGTGTAGCACCAAACGCGTGCAACTGAGGGCCAAGTGTGAGTTTATTTTACATCAACTCACTCTCAATAACAAGCGCGTTTGGCGTAGCGATTGGTTAAGATTTCAGTGCGGGCCAATCGCAGCGCTGAACGCGGTTTCCGTGACGATCCAGTAGAAATGAAATAAACTCGCACTTGGCCCTCTGATGTACGTGAGACTCCTAAACGGGCGTACCAGTACCAGACGTCGCGGGCAGGAGGGTAACTCTGCCCTCCTTCATAATGCGCCTCAGCGTTGATCCTCTAAGTTGAGTTGACTCATTAAAAAGGGGAGGATTCTCTAATAAGTGTAACGTAATTTTATATGCTAAAGAGTGGTATTGATACCATTATGTAGCATTTTTTTACTGGAAACAAAACCTTTTCATTAATAGGATAAAGTGAAATGGATCCAGTGAAGCGGTAGAGATCTGTGTATTATTTTTAGCCCGTTGGCCATTTAAACATAGTTGTCAGCTGTTAACCACTTCGTAAGTAGTATGTTTCGTTCTCAGGGTACTCTTTATTGCACATAAAGAGTACCTATCTATCTATATAGGCAAATGGTTTCTATTGTGGTAAATATTCGTTCTGTTTAATCTGGTATTGGTCTCCTGCAGTACTATAATTTGTCGATTTAACTTGTCCATTTTATTATGATAAAGAGGAGAAAAGAGTAGACGGTTTACCTAATGATAAGTGTCTACCTCCCTTAGATATATGCAGGTCGAGAGACCCACGTGAGTTGTCGCCCTTTGAGTGCCTTCTCTCCAGGGTTTAGACTCCGGTAACTTCCCTCACTTAATGAAAACCAATCAAAGAATTGCTTAAGACTGGTCTTCTGTGAGACCTGGTATTACTCCGTTCGAGCTAGCCTATATTTATGTGCCAATGCATGGTCCTCCTACGGCAATTACTATAAGTATTATTTGAATATTCGCAGTTTAATATTCGGAGATCGGTTAGTTCTTTAAAGAATTTTGTGTTGTTAATAATGATCTGGATGTAAAAAAAAAACGAAGAAACACCCAACTATCGTAACGTCTGTTAAAATTGTGTATATAGCAATTAGCCCCTGACCGCTTATCACAGTCAGTAGTCACGTGATTTTGATAACAGTTGATTGTTTATTTATAGTTTGTTGACCTATTAAAGTTTCGTCGGTGGACACTGATAGCAGTAATACGTTGTTACATAATATATGCTTAAGATTAAACAATAATGAATTTTAAAATTTAAAAAAATACCTCAATTACTCATTTCTATTTTATTCTTTCTATTGAATAAACGAGAACTAAAAAAATTTAGTTGAGTAATAGGTTTTTACAGCTCTTCTATACAGGCATATTATGTACTTCATAGGAACGTGTGCCATGTCCTTCCAACACAAAAGAGATCCTCGGGCCAGGTGAGGTTATCATGCCTGGAAGTTGTAGCTAATCGGCGTGAGAACTTTTGATATCGCGATAAAGGATTAGCGGTTACTCCGTAGTGTCATACTTATACCTGAGCGCCTGGGACATTGAACGCTTACCACTGTGTAATAAATTATTCTATCAAAAATGAAAAAAACAAATAAATGCTGATCTTTTTCAAAACAGTTTCCAACTCTAGAGGTGATAGTTTTCTTCTCTTTTAAATGAAACTAACCTTGCGTACAGTTATACTATACTGTGATTAAGTTTAAAAAAATCGTTATCGAAAGCGAAAAACAAAATGTCACAAACAAATATATCTATGTCATTGGTCACAATGCACAAAAAATCAATCAAAGTAAAACGTTACCGAATGGTATATCAATTTGAAAAACATTATTGTTGACTTGTAATTTTTAGAGGACATAGAAGAACTCACACCAAAATTAATTTTGACACACATATATGTGTGACCTTCAATTTTATATGAAACTCCTGAGCAATTTGTTGTAGCAATATCCGTGGCTTATAGTTGGTTAAAAAATATAACAGTAGGCGCATACAATTATGTTACGTCGCGTTTGTGTGTTGTCGGAGTGTCACTAACCCTATTCACCCCGTGGACGTGACTAAGGACTAACGTGGACTAAGTTAAGAGAGCAAACTACACAGGAGAACCGCACTGCAAAGAGAAGGAAAACTAGACACAATACCACGCTGGCCAGTCGGGTAGGTATAGGGACCTACCCGACTGGCCAGCGTGGTGTAGTAAGCCAAACCCTACTTTCTAAAGATAGGCCCATCTCCAGCAGTGGACGATTAAAGGCTGTTAATGATGATGATGATAACAATTATGTTACTCTGTAACGTCGTCCTAAGTATCATATTCAAAAGTATTATTATTAAATCAGCACAGGTTAAGTGTATTACTGATAGGCCGATGCGGACGATCGATTTATCCTTGGCAAGTCATAGGATTTAGTGACTTTGGCGAATATTTCTTTTATGCCCTGTAGTGAAACTACTGTTGCGTGTTCAGATACTTATACTATTACTCTTCTTGTTAGAAAATTGTGTTAGTATTTATAGTGTAATATTATTCGTGTGTGAGCTAACATTTATACACACACTGAAACAGAGATTTAGGTAATTAGTAAAAATAATACGAATCTAAAGCTGTGCAGATTGCTGATGGTCACGGCTACCTATTCACTTATCACACACATACTCGTTCGTTCGTCACAGTTGTTTAGAGTCAAAGACTTTAATTATTTTTCCCAAACTTTCCAGGTTTTCGGAAAACCTTTCCATTTTATTTTTACCAATAAACTGTACGAACTCTAATATGATGTGCTTACCAACGAACACAATTTTAATTTTAATATTTTATATACAATAAGTACTTTGGCGACCCTGTAGAATAATAATACCCGAGCAAGACGCCGAACGTTGAGCTTTAAACAATTTTTTTTTTTATATTGGGACTAATCCCACCTACACGCCCACCACTGTAACTCCTGTACACCAGGATCCACAGCAGTGACCCACGAACACACCGAGTTATGACACTCGGGAAGTCCCAGGAAGAAATTAAACTGTCTTGGAACCCGCAACGAAATTAATCAGAAGAAAATTGGAGGAGTTGGAAATACAGTAAATCCAGTTCCCTCCTTAGCAAAGCGGGAGACAAAATGAAGTAAAATAGGCATACACCCTTTTAAACAGGGAAGCACCACGGCCACAAAATATTACGGGTCCTACATGAGCTATATTTGATTTCTATAATATGTATGGCAGAATCACCTAAACGCACGGAAATTCACGAATATTACCGCACCGCCATATACGAGGAAATATTCCTTCCTTTAAACAATATGGTGGAGATTAGACAATCAAATTAAGAAATACCGGTGTTTTATGCTATGCCCAGGCTGATTTTGACCATCCCTATTCAACGATCGCCCTTCGACATATACCTAAAAAAATTGTAAGTAATTTCTACAATGGTAGCGTGTTATTTTGCCATCTATTTCTTTCAATTACACAGTTGGTATGTGAAGGTATTCCATCAATATGTACATAACTCTGTGTGCCTGTCCTGTAAAATTTTCAAGCTTTAATTTCTCCATCGATCAACATGAAGTATTGTTTGTATTTTGTCAGAGATTCAGCCAAATAAATAGAGTACCTTTTTTACAGATAAAACACTATTCCCGCAGAATAAAAACAATAGACATAGACAAGCAAAACCTAGTAAGTCTATATGTACTCACCATTCATTGGTCAGCTTCTCCTTCTCCCAATCCGCTTCTTTTCCAGTATCCCTCATTATTTCACTCAATAATTACCTCACTGAGCACTCTTTCCACATAATAAACAGAGGTCTATCTCGATACTAGTTTTTTTTTCAAAATATCTTATAAATTTTCTGTCACTTCATTAAAATTACTTTTATTGTATAAAGTGCAATCGGATTTTTTAAATAACCTCCTTCATTTATGAAGTCAATTAAAAAATATATGTTTTTTTGTTAAGTTGCTTAAGTCAGGTCAAGTTAGTTGACGTGTATAAATTCTGACGTCTAGTATGTATCGTTGATGTATAATAGAGGTCATAATAAGATTGTAACTACGATAAATGACAAAAATATTACTAATAAAACAAACTTAAAGAGTGCCTTTAACATTAAAATTAATATCGTTCAACGGAAACAATACATCTCGATCTGTATTCGGCCACAGAATAGATAATAGTACCGTTGTTGAATTTGAAAAAATATAATTGCCCGTCTCTAGGTTTAGCAAACTAGACCTAGACTATAGGTTTATTCCACTATGTTAACCTGGGTAAAGTAATATCACCCAGTGTAATGCATTCGTATTTTTGAGCTTTCATCGGGAATGGCAGTTATTTTATTTTAAACAGAAAACAGGGAAAAATACGTGACCCTGGTGTCCAGCGAAATTACAATTATAGCCCATCAAATCTAAGAGATGCCGTTTGACAGTTATGACAGATTGAAGAATAGGGGTGGGTGAAAGATATCGATTACTACAAAATGAAATCGATTTCTCTTAAGAAAAATCGATTTCATTTCTATCATCATTCATTACGATAACAGTTTTACAGATTTATGTATATTGCATTAAAAACCCGTATATTATTTTATCTTAGGTCTTACTAGTAAAGCTTAGTATAATAGTACTCGTAATAACAATGTTAAAATTTTATAAAAAGGAGATAATTTTTCGAGCTTTTAAGTTATACTCGTATCCTATCCTAACCTAAATGAGAGGTTACCCTCATCTCAGCCGAAAGATGTCCACTGCTGGACATAGGCCTCCCCCAACGTTCGCCACAGCAACTGGCCCTTTTTTTATTTACGTCGGGAAACCCCCTCGGGCCGTCACCCCACCGGTTTTTGCGGCGGGGTCGTGTGTCGGAATCGGACCGACTAAAACCACACGGTATGCCACTCTGCGCCTGTAATAGGAGAGGTCCGGGAACTGCTATTATTAAGACATCCGGACCTCTACTAGCGTCTGCCCGCAATGGCGCGGGCACCATCTTCGGGTACATTTGCTATTTAGTGACGTTCAGCACAGGCGGGACTCAATTCCCTCCTAGCGACCGAGTGCAGGTACTTCCCGAAGTAGCCGTGCCCGGAAAGGACATGCCGCCCTGCCCACTCAACGATGACCGGTTGGAGCACATTCACGGTGGCAAAACCAGCACCTTGAACCTCCAGCTGGGACGACCAACGAGCCACCGTAGCTCGACGAGCAGCCTCACGCCACTCGCGCACCTCTTCGGGCGGGGGCCGACTGCCGCTAACCGCCCGGAACTAAGTTCAGTCGATACACCGATATACTTCAATATACTTCCGCCTTCAAGTCCCACGGGGGAGTATGGCTCTAACCGCCAATACCCTCTGAGGACACCAGAGGCTCGCCCTATTCTAGGCGGTTAGAGCCACCGCCCACACCGAAGCGCCACCATTGAAGCGCCAGGGGGAGTACCACGACGGGGCCCAGAGAATAAGAGGGCCTCCCGTAGGCCCAGAGCCTCAATGCGCCCAACCTTCAGAGAGACTTTTCCCCTGAAAGTTAGCGCCCCGGGCCGTAGCTAAAGTATCATCGACGTAACAAATTACACCCAGCCCGGAGGGAAAATCAGCTCGAAGGGCCCACTCGACAACAACCGGCCCAACCGGACACGAGCGTTTTTACTAACAAAAAATTATTTAAAATTATTTTAACTTACATATTTTTCACACCCATCTATAGAATGACCTGGCTAGGATTGCTTAACTTTGGAATGTGCTGACTAACTCGGTTACCACTTAGCCACGAGCCCCTCTACACGACTACTAACTTCGTTTAAATATAAACAGTTTTTGAAGAGCAGAGCGTCACACTAATTACTATACTTATTTTGTCTAATTCGTTACAGGTAATATGAATGCAAAGGTGACAAAAACCGAAGTCAAAGTCAGTTATTATTAATTTGCCCGCAGGACAAAAGAAGAATTTGTTTCGTTGAGATCAGAGACCCTCAAACTTGTTTATCTTTCAGACCCCTTGAAATGTTTTTTTTGTTTAGGTAGACCCCCGGCTTAGATTGTATTGAAATGTAAAAATATTGTTTTTGTGATGACTACAATACCGTGTATCATTATTTGCCGGGCTTTATGATCTAGTGGTTAGTGATCCAGACTGCTAGGCCAGAGGTCGTGGCTTCGATTGCCACCCAAATAATAGTATGATGAGTGTCCTGTGTCTGGGTGCTGGGTGTAATTTATCTTAAAAATCTAATTGTAATGTAGAAATTATTCATAATCTGAAAAAAGAGAGCAAAGACAAATGCTTTATTTGTCATTATAAATATTTTGATATTTTATGTAATCTTTATGATCGCAAAAGAAAAATCACGCTTAGAAAGTCATTTCAGTAACTCACGGTTTTGGAACAAGTATATTTATGGGGCTACCACCGCTTGGCTATTAATATATTTTAAAGAAATTGACAATTACTAGAGATTATAGTAGTCGTAAAATAAATAAATTAAATGTAAGAAAATGTATTTAGGGAGTGCAATTTCACTACAGAAGTCCAAAAAAATACGTGTGACTATTTCGTCATTCAAATTAACGTTAAACTAATTATGGCGCTGAAGTTACAAAATATATTGCAATGTTATTTAGCACAGAGACTGGCAGCTAACATTAATGATAACGAGATATAAAGGAAATATAAAAAAGTTTCGTCTATTAGTTGTACAAACGTCAGATAAAACATTCTTTAAACAATAGATGATTCAATTTATTTTTTATTACAACCAAAGACAAGGGAAACTGAAATGCGAAATCCTTGGGTTGATTGACAATAGAACTAAGATATTAAACAATCTTTGTTTTGACGGTAATAAAGGTGGAAATGGAAGACTTACTGACATCCTATCTTAAATTTTGTCAGTAGTTAATCTTAAATTCAATGTTACACCGGATAACACAAGTGATAAGATGGTGACGAGAATTCGAGTCAATATGGAACGAATGATAATAATCACAAGCTATTTATTTAAAAATATATAGATAAGGACTTCTGTGTTTACACGAGGACAAATAGAGAGTTTTAAGTTTTTCAATGACAGTGGGAAAGCAAGGCCGGCTCGACCGGAGTCACAGAACACAGGTGTTAAGCAGTTCTCTCGATCTCTCTCAAAAATTGATAGATAGATAGCAAACTCTTTATTTATACACAATTTTTATAAGAGTATTATCATACAAACAAATGTCAGGTATGTAAATTATAAAAGGCGGCCGTATGGCTAGGTGTTCAATCTCTTCCAGGCAATCTTAGGATGGATCAAAATTTTTCGGAGAGACAGTAGTAGACTGCAGGTGCATTTGAATATTTTAATTGCTAATGAATACAAAACAAGAATTGCACTAAAGTAAAACACGAACTGCTTCAATTCACTACAAAATAACATACTAAGTCACTTGGAGCGAAATAGATTTAAGGGGATCTAGAAGTAGAAGAAAAAGGTATGAGGGAGGGGTTATACGACCTCCAAAACATTGCCCAAAACATTGCTACGTATCTACGAATTATGTTGAATACTTGATGACTTTTATTTTATGTAGTGGTTGACTACACAGATAAATTGTTGTTTATTATACATAATTTCTCCTGTAAAGGAGGAGGCTCTTTGAAGAAGACAAAGTTTTTTAGATTGATTTAGTTAAATTAAATAAGCATTTAATTTAACTATATCTTTTAGTTTGTAATGTTTTTGATACTTATGACTAAAGTACCATAAACTAATTTATTTTAACACTAATGTCGATCTATAAATTTTTGGTACAAATTTGCATATCGCGCGTTACATGACATAACGGATGGGAGCGAAACCAATAAATGTGTACCGAGACTTTTTTTCCGATACTATGGAAAGAACTTCGTTTCGCCCGGGGGTCCATAGACCTCTCACGCCGTTTTTCTCGTTCAAATACTTGATTTGACTGCACGGATGGCGTAGTGGTCACCTCGCCTCTTCCTACTGCGCTGAGTGTTGTGGGTTCGATCCCCGCATAGGACAACATTTTGTGTGAGCCACAAACTGTTGTTCTATGTGTCCGTTCCGTTTCGTTTTGTGTAATGTGGAAGTAATCTTTAAAAAAATTCAAAATGCTTTCATGATCAACATCTGTATTCATACGCGTCGTTTTGACTGAAATCTCACTGTACAATGACATCGCGATGTAGTCAGTACAATATCATTACGAGTATATTGCGGTGCTCATAATATAATTCGAGTATACAAATATAACAACATTGTGTTGTCAACAGTTTCATTACTTACAACATTTAAGATCTATAAACCTTTTGTACTTTGTAAACTAATAATTTTTTTTTTGCTGTAGTTATGTTTATGATTGTTATTTATGAAGACTTACTCGGAATGTTTTAGAATTTAGATTATTACAGATTACTAGCTGTTGCCCGCGGCTTCGCTCGCGTGTATGTCAGTTGTCGCGGTAAAAAGTAGCCTATGTTACTCGCTGATAATATAGCTTTCGATTAGTGAAAGAATTTTCAAAATCAGTTTAATGGTTTAGGCGTGAAAGCGTAACAAACAAACTCACTTTCACATTTATAATTGGATTGGATACAATTAGTTTGACAGTCTAGTGTTGTCGCCAAGGACGTTTTCACCAAAAATATAAAGAGAAACGACGACCGTTGAAATACTGTAAAAATTCATACTAGGAGTTGATGAAGGTGTATGATATAGGTATGAACTTTAAATCCTAGACCTAATACG